AGAGAGAGAGAGAGAGAGAGAGAGAGAGAGAGAGAGAGAGAGAGAGAGAGAGAGAGAGAGAGAGAGAGAATGTAGAAGAAGAAGAAGAGGTAGGCGGAAAAGACTACAAATTAAGAAAGGTTACCTCCTCCTCCTCCTTCTCCTTCTTCTTCTTCTTCTTCTTCTCCTTCTTCTTCTTCTCCCTCTCCTCCTCCTCCTCCTCCTCCTTGTTGTTCTTCTTCTCCCTCCTTGTCCTCCTCTTGGCAGTGCAACCCCTTCCCTCCGCATTGCCCTTCGCCGCCTCTGCCATTCGCCCTGTCCCCTGTCCATCTTCATCATCATTGCCTCCCCTGAACAAGGATGAAGACAATGGGGAGGATGGATGCGTATGATGACGTCCTTCTGTTTTTTTGTTTTGTTTTTTTTTGTTCTTTTTTTTTTGGTCCTTCTTACCTTCCTTCTTTTGAAGGTTGTCCAGCGGGAGTGGGTGCGCACACCACTGGGGCAGTTCGATTCTCTCTAATGTTTGAAGAGAGAATCTTGATTGATGGCCATCATTGCATGCCAAAAGGTGCATGTGCGCACCCCCTCTGCACACCGTATCACTGGAATGCCATGGCCTCCGTGCCGTTTGCCCACACACATGAACCGGTTTGCCTGCAGAAAGCTGCATGCTGTCCAAATTGTAGGAAATGAAAAACATAACAAAAGCAAACAAACACCGGCCGTACAACCCGATGGCTGGCACTGTACGGACCTTAGAACGGATGTCCGCCAGCCAAATCCCGAGGCCAACGTGTAATCCAGCCGCTGGCCGGTACTGGCGGCCCACCTTCTGTTTCCCACTACGGGTACCGGTCGCGGTCAGGCTCGGCAGAGCTTGGCGTGCAGCGGTTCGCAGCCTGGGCGACAAGAGGCTTGCAGGTTGTGGTGGTTTAAACCACCAGTCCCTCTGAGCCTCTTTCTTTTTCCTGATGCGAGTTTTTGCTGCACTCCAATTCCTGCAGAACTGGCATGGCACAATTTGCCCGGTGGTGCCAACCTTTTCCGTCCCGTAGGCCCGACCCACGATTTTGCAGCACGTTAACCAGCGTGTCCAAACGAAACAACGGGAAGAGTAACCGGTGGTTAAATTCCATCCCACTGTTTTGCAGTGGACTGGAAGCAGGTTCAAGTAGACGCAGGTTTGTTTCCAGGTATAGTGTTTCGCAATCTATCTTTTCAAAAAAGGAAAGAAAAAAGGTTCTGGAATGAGAATCCGATGTCGAGATTGCTACTTACACGGATTATCACCTGCTGGCAATCAGTGCAGCAGAGCTACAAGTCCGCAGCTATAACCCCGAGCAGTAGGCTCTGCTCGAAATTATCGAGTGTCAATTTTCAAGGAAAGATAGAAAAGAAAAAGAAGTTTGCTGCACGTCTGTTCATCATACGCTTTGAAAATGGCTTTGGAGTCTGGACTGTGTGTGTGTGTGTGTGTGTGTGTGTGTGTGTGTGTGTGTGTGTGTGTGTGTGTGTGTACTCTCCTCCTCCTTGTCCTTTGCCACACCCATTGCTTGTTACAAGTTTTCTTGCAATAAGACCATGTCAAAAACAGTATGCTGATGCGAATCGGCTCCCGTGTCAGGATGCTGTTTTGGATCTGCCTCGAAGCGGCTTGCCAGGTCATAAGGAATGCTTACTCAGCATTGGCTCATGTAGCTGTCGCACCTTTTTTTTTTGCTTTTTTCTTTTTTTTCAGAAGGCCTGATGGACGATGGATCAGATATTAAACTGAGCAGAACAGATACTACAGTTGATCTATTTTTAGCCAAAAGGCCGAGAAAGGTATGTTGACTGTCTCAGGTGCCTTTCACTCAGTGACACACTGGGTGTGGGCATGGCAGCCTCAGCCGTCGTGGGTTGTTTGCTGACCGGCATGCCATTGTGTTCCTTGCTTGTTGGCTTGTCATTCATCACCGATTACTGCTTGCTGACATGGGATTCCTCCGTTCTGGTTGCTTGGTTGCATCGCAGCATTGGAACTTAGTGGGTCACTGATGGGCACTCTCTGTTCGCACGATGTGGCTTCGTTTCCAGCCACGATAATGGACGGGAGGCGCAAGGCTGAGTAAGTGGCTTTGTCAGTTCCCTGGAGAGGGTGGGTGGGTCGGTGATGTGTCCTGCGACTGCCACCATGTACATCCTGCTTGAGATACCGCTTTGACAACGGAACGGTGTGGGGGTTATCTGCATAGGAAGGGAGGCAAATTGAACCCTTGATTATCCGGAGAGGAAGCGACGAAAGCTGAACCCCTTCATCCATGATCCATCCAAACAGCTGGTGTAGTCAGTTAATAGAACGGATTCTGGAACATGTTGATGGGGCAAAAAAACAATGCTGGGCAGCTTCGGCAATTTCTGAATCACATTGGTGACTTGTACCGACTATCCATCGTCCCCCAAACACAACGCAACAAACCAGAAAGATAGCTTGTAGACACTCATGCTCGAGGTAGCCGATTGTTCCTGTCTGATGGCCGGTCAGGATTTTTATCGTGGCTAATTGCTAATCGTTGAGACTCATACGGTGATGATGACGGATCTTCTTGATGCGGTGGACGAGCTGTTTGATGTGGTGACCGATCTTGGCTGGTGCTCGTCGTCTCTTCCGTGGAGTCTTGACTGTTGGATCTGCTTGCTGTTTGGGTTCGGCGATAAACGACGATCAGTTGCAGCACTTGTGTTGTCAAGGGCCAGCGGCTCAAAACCTGGACCTGGACGGTCCGATCACGCCTGGCAGGAATCGTCGGCGGACGGACGGGAGCTTTGCCGGTCAGCCAGTTGGTCATTCGGGATGTCAATCTAGATCCCATGCTCCCGATCTGGTCCCGAATTGAGACCAGAAATGGTGCAATCCTGGGCCTAACGAATGCACACCATTGGCCGCTGGGGGAGCTGGACGGCGACGAAATGACTTCTTCCGCTTGCTTGCATGGTTTCGAACCTTAAACCACCAGTACCTACCGGTTGGGGCGGCCGTTAACGCGGAAGCGGAATCGGCCTGCCCCTTCGGTCCACATTCATTCGAGGCCGGGGGGTACGAAAAATGCGGTAGGTACTGGTGGTTTAATGGAGTCGCTATGCTCATTTAAGGGATCGGAATTCCTGTCCTTTTTGCGCTTGCTTGCATGGTTGCGGACCTTAATGGAGGCTTCTGGCTTTGTATCGTTCTCCCCTTACGCTCTCTTTCCTGTCCTTATTTGCGCTGAGTTATGCTGCATTGGAGGGTCCCATTGAAGGTGACTTTACAGTCGTTGGGCAGTACATCATGGAACGGCCTCACTTTGAAATCGAGAGTTGCTGATCGTAGGCCGCAGCTTGAGAGCAGAGTCTGGACGAGGGTCTGAACTCTGGGTTCCAGGAAATAGATGTGGATCAGTTTGTGTGTGACAGCCTGCAGTGACCACGATCTGGACCAGGATCTGGACGAGGATCTGGACCAGAATCTGGACCTGGATCTGGACCAGGATCTGAATATGGGACCTGGGTGAATTTTTGTGTGGTAGACTGCAGTGATCTCCACCCATCCTTTGTCAAGTCATTTCACTGAACCACTACTTGTTTCAGTATAAGGAGGCAGCCACAAAAGGAGAACCTTGGAGGAACAGGAACGACATTCGGGTTGTAGAATACGCTCATCTTGGTCCTAAATACCGGCCACTCATAACCATCTTCATTCACCTTTTGAGCTCAAACTTGAGCCGTGGTTTTGACCGGCACTTTGGTCCTGTCGGACCGGCTGTTGCACTACTGCAGGACTGGGGGGAAACTTGTTCAGCCTGCCTGAATTTCAACTCGCCACATTTTCCTATTATCCTCCTCAGGTGTCACGACTGTAGGACCAGTCTTTTGTTCTTGGACCAAAATTTATTCCGGGACCAACCTTTTGTTCCTGTAACAATCTTGTGCGCCTCCTCGGTGCTATCGATGAATGCTTTGCAAGTTTGCTCATCATATATATTGTCGTGACCGTGGCACCGGTTGTGTGAAACACCATGCCTGCAAGTTCATGGTTGATGCCTGTGATCAATGAGCTGCCAGTGCTGCAACCTGTGGCTTGGTGCTCAGCTGGACACCCCCCCCCCCCCCCCATTTGTGCAAATCTGGACTTCAGTGGCTGGACCGGTGTATGCTACTATTAAGCGGCCGATCAGAATGGAATGGAGGTGTCAAAATGATATTTACTTAGGCTGTTTGTAAAAAGTCAGAGGAAAATAAAAGTTCCCGCGGGATCCTCGGACCTGGGACAAGCTTTTGTTCCAGCAAAGGCAGCTGCCGTGGAGGGGAAGTTGGGCAGGCGTCGTGGACCACGGTACCCCATGTGTTCAGGCAATGAACCAGGATCTCTAAGAGATGAGAATGACGTCTGCGTCACTTTTATAAGTTCTTTTGTGTCTTAATTACAAAAGTTCTCGACCCTTATCTTGATCCTCTTGGTTCCTTTTTTTTTTTTTTTTTTTTTTTTTTTTGACATCCTTTTATTGTTTTTTTTTTAAATCTTGATTGAGCCTTGTCTTCTTCCATTGTTGACCATCGACCTTGTCTTGGTCCTCTGGATTCCGTCTTTGACGTGACGGTCCTGGCCTTCTTCCATTGTTGACGCTTGCTAGCCATTTACGGCTTTTTCTGTTTGTATTGTCACTTCTAGTATTAGCAGGGTGCTATTGCTATCTTGATTGTTAACCGTTGTCGACGGCGGTTATGTTGATTGCGTTGATCGAACTTGATCCCTTTTTTCTTAGAATTTTCTTTGTTGTTGTGAGAAGACTTTAACGTTGACCCTCCCTTTTTGATTCTTAACTCTGCTTCCAAGCCTTCCATTGATTAGCTGTGTTGGCACTTGTGTGCTGGTTTCATGGTTGAATAGTTTTGACCATTGTTTTAAACCGGGCCCCGACTGCTTTGTCGAACCTTGGTCAATAATCTTCCATAGCTATGGTTGACCTCTTTGGCGCTTGTCTTCATTCCATCCTTGTCCTGTTCTGATCCCTTTCTGTGTTCCAGTTTTGAGCCTTGCTCACCCTGGACTTCCCTCCCTTGTTGACCCTCATTGCCCCTTATTGACATCCACCCCCTTATTGACCCCCTTAATGACCCCTTATTGACCCCTTATTGACCCTTGCCCTCATTCCACTTGACCCTTTTTAGTAAGTTTTATCCTTGTTTTTCTTTTTTCCAAGGGTGATGGCCTTGAGATAGCATCATTTGAACTGACCGCCCCTAGGTAATTCAGAATTGCAGTATAATTTTACTCATCTGCTTCCACTGGTGTTCAAACTCAGCACCTGGTCTGTATTTCAACAGTTCAGTCCAGGGGGGGAGTACCAACTGAGCTAGGCCAGTTGGATCTTGTTTCCATTTCGCCTTTGACCCCTGCTGACTCTTTTCTTGGTTGCATTCTTGTCCCTCGTTAACCCCCGATCGTGCTCCTCTGATAGTGCACTATTTTTAGCCATTGTGTTTGGTACATTTTTGACCATTGTTATCCTACCTTTGATCCTCTTTTGCCACTTCATCTGTCGACCATGGTTACTTATTGGTTTGACCCGTCCTTCTCCCATTATTGACTGTTCTTGACTGTTGTCTTTGCTGCACTGTTGAGCCTTTGTTTGTTGCCCTTGAATTCGTTGATGCTTGGTGGCTAGCACTTGTTGGCCGTTGCTCTTTTTGAGGTCCCATCGTGTTGGCTTTTCGAATATACCCTTCAGAGGCAGTAACTATTGGACACTTGGTCAACAAATGAGCACCTGCTGGTAGTCAACTATAAAGCCACCTGATAGCATATAGAGGCGTCGAGGTTGTGATGAAAGGGCAGACCTGAGATGCGCAGCTGTAGCTCATAGCCGCTTGTCTGGCAACCAGATCCCAACTCATGGGAAGAGTCCTGGAAGAAGGAGAGGACGAAACTAAAGGGTATCTGTAAGCAGAGAACTTCTCTCTGTACCCGGTCTGTACCCAATCTGTAAGTGGTCTGGACCTGGTCTGTATCCTGTCTGTATCCGGTCTGTATCTGGTGTGCATTGGGAAGCTTGAGTTGATTACAAGGCAGTAGAGATATCAGCTCAGAAGAGAGAGAAAGGAAATTGTGGGGAGAGGAGGAGGAGGAGGAGGAGGAGGAGGAGGAGGAGGAGGAGGAGGAGGAAGAGGAGGAGGAAGAGGAAGAGTGGACAGAAACGAAAGGAAAGAGGACGGGAAGAAAGACGCAGAGCTCATTGAGTGATCCGTTGAATGGCCGATCGACGGACGTGATTGAATCAATCAGCGAAACCAATGGAACCAACCAAGAAAGAACTATTCAAGATGGAGCCAACCAGGCTGCCACCCACGTGGACAGAGCCAGGCAGTGCGGAGCCACGCAGGTTGGTGATGCCAAGGAGCAGAAGCAATGTAGATCTCTCCACATCCCTGGAGAAATTTGATCCTAAATCCCTGTCAAAGGCGGAGAGAATTCGAAGGCAGCGGAAGAGTGTGGCAGATTTTCGGGTCAACCCCCCGGAATTCGCCTATGTGGACCTCAAGAAGCACTTTGCGAACGCAAAAGAACGGGTGATTAAACTCGAGGTGTGTGCCTCAGCTATCCCTGCTAAATGCCTGCAAAGTTTGCAAACACCCTGAACACATGAAGATGCCTGTTCTCTGCCCTGAACTCCCCCTCCCCTCACCCTCCTAATAAAATGCAATAGCTTCTGTTGTCAGCATTGGTTACTGCTGTCTTCCGCCGTGAACTCCTCTCTCCCTCTGAAATAAAATGTGGGGTTGTAATATCAACTAGCTTAGCGCTCGGCGCTCGCGGTCCGGGCAAAAGTCTACACAGAAGCAGGGCAAAGATCAGAGATACGGGCAAGGCCACGGGCAGACGACCAAGAGCCTCGCTCCACTACTTGACATTCTACATATACCTGGACTTGACATGGAGAAGATACATTTGGCAGACCGAATTGAACATCTTGAATGTATTCAGACCATTACCAGCACCAGATACACGTAGAATGTTGCATTACCAGCACCAGATACACGGAGAATGTTGACTAGTGGAGTGACTGTGTTTTTCAAACTTTTTTTTTCACATTTGGGGCATAGCCATGGATGTCTTCTCCTTCCACCCACCCTCCAGCTCCACCCTCAACGTCCAGGAGCTCTGCCAACCTCTCCCTCTGGGTGGAGCAGCGACGACATGACTGCTGGGTAAATGAGCGGATAATGCTCATTGTCCCAAATGATATACCTTTCGGCCTCCTGTACCTCTTGGCTGCGTTTACTTCCCGGCCTCCCTTTGATAAGCTAACTCAATAAAGCCGGCCGGGAGTCCACTAGTAGGCCTACCAGCTTCTCCTGCTTTTGGCATGAACATCATTGGTATAGTTCATTTGTGTTGAAGTGTGCCTGGAGCATCAAAATGATGTGATGCAATGATGAATTGTCTGAATGCTAATCAATCACAGACCAATCAATGTCTACGGACCCTGAGCCTTGACTTCTGCTGGCCTACTGCAAGGAAAATGAGCGATAGCGAACTTCAGAAACCAAGCAACATCACACACATGAGACGAGATAGTCGTGACCTCGAACCAAAAGCAGAATTGCAACACGAGTCCTACCAAATAAGAGCACAGCAAAAGCTCATAAGTGACAATGTTCGAATAGCCTCATCATCATCAACAAAGAACCAATGTCGACATCCTATCTGGCGCTCTGCGCCCAGACTACAAATGGCAGATCCTATCTAGCCTATCTACAATGCCGCTGGTGATGTCAACAGCTCCCCGAAGTATGATCAGATCTCGGCCAATGCTGTTCGCCTCAAGCACCAGGTATGTCTCTCGTATCACTCACAACCTCGATCCCCCACTCGCAGATGCCACATGCACCCAAGGACCGCCATGCGCCCATCCAGCTATGCAGCGCAGCTCGGCTGTGGCTGCCTGCCTGTCCCTGCTCGCCCATGAGCGCGTGAGCCTGGCCAGCGTTTAGCGCAGCAGCGCTTGCGCAGCATGCAGCCAGTGCCAGAATGCTGAATGTGGGGGCAGGACCTGTCCTATATGGAAGTGCCCTGCCAGCTGCGTGCGGCCAGGCTGCGCTGGGCCTCGGCCCAGAACCTCCCCTAGGCCCCAAGAGGCTGAGCCTCAGACCAAACGAATCAGGCCCAGGGCCTGTGGTGGTTACCCATGCCCAACTGCCCGCAGCCTGTGTTCGGTCCATGTTGCGTATCTGGCCCAGGGCCTGCCTCAGTTTCATACGATAGAGGAAGCCTGGGCCTGGGCGCTTTCAACCAACTGATGCTGCGCAACTGCCTGAATTTTCCCCCAGTTGCGTGGTAGTGAAACGGTTTTCACCTTTTAGTAAAAGCGGATGCAGTACTCAGAGTTCGATCCCTAGACCTCACCCTACACCTGTACAGTATTTGTGTGAACCCCGAGAATTGAACCTGTGACCTGTGTATTCATAGGCAGTTGGTAGACCTGTCGGAGGTCCGTAGACAGCTGGGGTTCGATCTGTAGGTCTATAGCGTAGGAATCTTAGTGAGTTCTGGAAGCTTAGCTGTAGACCTTCTAGAAGGTAGGCA